CATTGTAAAGGCCACATACCCCTTCAAAAGGAACTACGATTCTAATAGGTAGTCAAATGCAGGGAGTGGACGCAAAAGGAATGTCCAACGAAGAAAACTACAAGTTTTCAGAGCACTCCCTCATAGTACCTGGGATCAAGTTTAACCCGAGTACCTCCTGCATGCTTTGCAATGTAGTTTGTTCGGATCTTGCCCTGTTTGCTGGTCACGGACAACCTTTCCGCCCCGAAACTATTCTCACGCTATGCCTTCCATTGTCTGCAACATTCAATCTGAATGAAATTCGCTTTTTCCTTTCATGTCGGCCAAGTGATGCTCCCAATCTCTCTAGCTTTAAATGGCTAAATAGAAAAACAAACGAAATGAGGTCCAAGCTTATCTGACAGTAATCGAAATTGCATTCGGACACTGAATCATGTTAGTCAGTTCGATTGATGCGGTCGAGAATAACCTCAGAAGGAATGATGTGGTGCAGTGGGCCGAGGCGCTGCTAACCCCTCAATATAACGTGATTGAGGACCATTTTAGGTTTTCATTTGCTTCGGTATATAGACCTCAATTAGAAATCGAAGACAGGCTGAGCAGTAGTAGATCCATCGCGCCATTGTTTGAGACCCAAGCACACGCAATAACCGTGGAACTTTGGAGAAGAAGTGAGTGCAAGGCACATCCAACAGTACGCTAACCGTGCTTAATTTCTAACGAAAGAAATGTCTACCCAGAAGGAGTTATATCACTATACGAAGTCAAATTTAATAGGTATTTCTCTGAGAAACATAGCTACAGTACGCTAGAAAAGTGTGAGAAAACATAGCTACAGTACACTAGAAAAGTGTGAGAACACTAAGAACCGCTGCTTGAAAGAGGTGGGTAACTGAAGAAATTTTGGAATTGTCACAGGTAATCTGATCGGATGACCTTGTCAGGAGGTCGTTAATGTTGGAAATGTGTCGGCAAGCAGAATCAGCCAGGGCAATCACTGAAAGAAGTCGAACAATCACGTCTAAGGGCCCCCTCCGTGCCCGTAGTAATTCATTCAGTGTTCCGCACTATATCACAAAATAGATCGTACGCCTTTGCTGATCGGTTTTTTCGCCGTTTTCCTCGGAATGAAACCCATCAAAACGATTCTTCAAGAATGTGGAATACCTCTTTTTCTATTAAGACCGAAACATCCATTCATTAAGGGTGGACACACTTTGAACCACCTCATTTCATTGTTAAAAACTATGTAGTAAGTAGATTGTAGAAGTTGTAAGGACACGCATCTATGGAATACGGTATTTTCATGAGCATTCCCATTGCTTCCGGTTGCATGGATTTTTCGTTGAGCTTCCATGTTCCATGAAAATCATTGCACTATTTAGAGGCACAGTTCACGGTGATTTTGGGTAATCCAGATTATGAAGAAAAATGGAAGACAAGATCGAAGATAGTGCGATGAAGGTGAAGAAACTGCGTGAATCGGTGTTTCCAAAGTGAAAAGGCTTCAAAAGCCCGTTAAAAAGGGGGCTAGACGAAAAAGAGACCGGAAAAATGAAGAAGAGTGGGCGTTTGAACGAGCTATACAATGTGTCTCATTGCGTACGTGAAATAGGTGCGAATAACAGACTATGGTAAGCGAAAATTCATTCACTTATAAGCACAAGTAAACAAAAAAACATTATAACAGCAAAAGTAGCTCATCTTTTTCAGCCTCCAGGAGTAGGAAATTAAATAAGGGATCGCGCTTGCAAAATAGAGGAAAAAAGATGGGAGAAAACATAGCCTCATCACCCGGCGATCAGCTGATTGTGTGTGGGTCCTAGGACGAATAGTTGCAATCTGTATTGTCTCGACACTTGCCTAACATGATATTGATCGAGGGGCGTTAAAGCCAATTACGGCAGCAACAGGGCTTCCACTATGCCCTGAGCGCCGAGATTGTGGAAGCGAGAGGGTCCCTTCTACCACCCATGGGGGCGCTGAATATTCCTAAAGGAAGAACTCAGTAGCCTCTTTTATTGTGAACTGTGCCTTTGAGTGAGAAACAGAGCCAATCGCGTCTCGGGATGACGCGACGATCAAGCTTTTCCGCGCCGCGACTGCACGCGCGTGAGACTTACGATTTTTTTGAGTTTGGAGGCCGAGGATATCGCTATATACCCCCTAGAATTGGTTAAAATTACGGTTGTTCACTGTAATAAAAATAGAGCAAATCAAAAGAGCTCAGGAAACACTGGGATATTTTCACTCAGGTAATAAGGGCCGGTGGATAAACATTCTTCTACCAGAATGAAGCAGATGCTAGCTAGCAGGCAACCAGCCTAGAGATTGTGCCTAACCTATCAAGCCACTCTAGTTAGGCTCAAGTCATCCGATCCCTTAATGAATTATTTGTAACCTCATTCCCTCTCCTGAATCTATTTAAGTCAGCCTGAATTGGAATCCTGAAAAAAGAACGATCTGTCGGAATCTTGAATGCCTCCAGAAAACTCAAGCGATCCATCTACTCTTGATAGGCCACGAACATCTTACCTTTGCATATGGCATCGTAACATAGGCGAAGACCAGACAAAAACCAACCACCTAGTTGCATATGCCCTTATTCATGAAAAATTTTAAATAATAAAAAAGCAACTCATTCCCGACTGTATTCTTTATTAAATTAAACAACAATTCACATCAAGTAATAAAGTAACAAAGACCGGGAATACATAGTATCTTCTACAAAACACTGTACTCCCGCATAAGACATCATAAATTAAATGAGAACAGCCAATTAATATTTGAGAAATCCTTTCGGAGGCACTAAACGCCACATCATACGGTAATCTGATTAAGGTAATTATTAATAAAAGTATGAAGTCATAGCGGCATGAATCAGGGAGATGACGATCGCCTACTTTCTAAAGGATTTCACTTTTTCTTCGCCTCCTCTGCTTCAGCTGCTTCACGTTCTTGCTCTACCAACTTCATCAGTGCTTCTACTTCTTCAACTGTGAGGACACGGTGAGTGCATTCACCGGGCTAAATATTAATAAAATAAAATGAGAACAAAACGGGATTTGAAGGTGTATATGTGCTGTCTGTGATGGCTTTGCTATGTTCAAGGGAACTCTGCCCCAACAGGAAAAAACAGTTTAAAAAATCAAAAAAACAAGGTGTTTTTGAAAGCGATTACTTGTCATCAGAATAAAGGGGAGCCACATGGCACTCCTGTTTCGGTTTCCGGACAATCTAATCAGCCCCTCCTTTCAATCTTTCCCTTCTCGAACACCGCAAGAGTAGACTTCATGAGCGCCGGGTGAGTTGTAAAAGATGAGGTCATTTCAGAAGGAAAGTGAAAGCGGGAGGGAGGCACTGTGTAATATAGAACAGCATGGAAAACTGAGGATAGAGCACTAAGATTGAATACACAAAATCACACCTTTAACAATGGCTGGTATCTAATGGAAAGATCTTATTTCTCTGAAAAGCACTTTTGAAAGAACTCACGATATCGGTTCTCTTCATTACGGCAATCTCAATATTTTGAGCACCCGATTGTACCACCTGAAATTTGGACATTTGAAGAAATAGGAATCAGAACAATAAGAGATCGATCAGCTTGGAAAGAGCTGATTTGTTAGATGAATCTTGAATAACTAAACGATGCCGTATAATACTTTAGGGAAGTAGTCTAGACTTCTGATCAAAAACGATTTTTACTATTCTTCATCTTTTTAGCGGCCCAAGGACCTAATTCATCAAATCATGAGAAAACTCTTTTCAGCAATTATTTGAAAAGAAATAGTAAAAGCAAGTTTGAAGATATAGTAAAAGCAAGTTTGTTACCTGAGAAAGAGCCTTAACCACAAGTTTGAGAGTAGACGCTTCATCCTTGATTGTATCATCACTATAATGTTCTTCCAAATACTCACGAACGGGTTTCTCTCCACGACCAGTAGAATTAGCCTCAAAAGGGAACCTTTGACAAGGTCGCCATAAAAAGTTCCTTGACAAATTCAGAATAAACTTTGGATGAAAAGAGAAGAAATTCAAATACTTACCAGATATTCATAGTAAGCGCCAGATGGCTCCGTTTTGAAAAGTCGTGGATGCCCATCAAAGTCGAAGCCACCAATTAACATCGAAATTCCAAAAGGTCGACGACCAGGAGATTGTGTGAATCGCTATAAAGAAGCCAAGATCTGACAAAAAATCCAGCAATATACTAAGAACCCCTAAAACTAATGACAAACCTGCTTAGTATTTGCGATATACCTCGAAATGTACGCCACTGTTACGGGATCTTCCAAAGTTAACTTATATGATTGGCATTCGATGCGGGCACGATCGACAAGCACACGAGCATCGGCCGACAAACCTTATAAATAAAACTGTTGAGATTGCCAGCTCACACTATTCAATTTCCTTACGGACCATTCCAAACGCTACGTTTGCTATGCCATGCGCTAAACAAGTCAGCGAATATTCACATATCTCAGATTTGTGGACCTTACATATCAAAAAAAAAAACGAATAAATATAACTAAATGAACAAATAAACAAAGATATTGAAATAAAAAAGATAAATAAACGAAAAATAACAAAACATGGAAGTAGCTTTACCTGCGAAAGCAAGCATTACGTGGTCATCAATCATGTGGATCTTTCGGATTGTTCTGTCATCCTGAAGAGCCGGGATCGACTTCTTCTCCACACCAATTACAACGCAGTCCTTTCCTCGCACGCCGACCTAAGAGCGATTGGTGATGTTTTGAGCAAATAAGATCTAATCCCATGTGAACTCATCGAGTTCAGTTCAGTTTTTGAAATTGCCTCCACGAGTTGAAAGCTCATAACAAAAAGGGGTTGGGCTACAGGTGAAGGAAGATATTCCAATAGCGACAAAATTCGAATAATAATCAATTTTGAAAAAGTTGAACCAATTCAAAGCAGCAGCCACTGATTGAATGTGAGCAGAAAGACTGTGAAAAATAAAATAGTCCATATTTGTTTAAACAACAGGACGCATCTACGCGCCTCAGGGCAAATATCAGAAAGGTAGCTACATTTACCTATGGCGGAAGTATAAAGATCAGCCGTGCAACTTGCCCAACATTGAAAATACGTATTGGCTCAACCAAATATTGAGCAAAGATTACAAAACGACAAAATACACAACAAACTTACAGCAGTGGAGCCTTTCTTCACGGCTTCCTGGGCATATTCTACTTGGAAAAGGTGCCCATCAGGTGAGAAGATTGTAATAGCGCGATCATAACGCTCCATTCTTAGCCCCTGAGAAAAGTTCGAATTCGGATTGGTAACATTTTCAAGAATGCTCTCGGAAAATCACGGATAAACAACGCTAGTCCATGCGAAGCACAACAGAGAAAAGGACTGTAAACAGCAATACAAAGACCTTTCAATGGAAAGAGGGGTAGGATCGCAAAGCTCAGCAGGGACGATGGATTTCAACTTTGGTTTCTAAAGCGTCGAAAAGTTAGTAAGTTATACAACATCTCTCTTCCTACTATAGAAGGAATCCAACATAACTAACATCAGTACCACGTTCTCGAACTCACTAGGGAACTACCTAACTGATGATCTGAATTACCCAATTGCAACTTCTCTACTTTCTTATCTTGCTAGCATTTACAAAATAAAGTCATGAACACAGAATAAACCCTGAAGGGTTTCCAATCGTGATGAGATTTCATTGAAAGGCTATTATTGGGCGGTATTTCTTGATAGGTTTGCGGTGAATTTGTCGTAAACACAGAGTTCACTGAAGAAACCTTAGAAATAAATCACTAATTTTTAAAATCATCATATCGCAAATGTAAATTAAAGGAGGACCTCAGTTCGATTGGAGCAGCGGGCGGGGTGCTGCCCCTTTAAACTGCTTGGCTAGAATCGAAATTCCTTCGTGGTAATTTGTATTCTGTCAACATTAATATCAATATTGTTTGGTTTGGACTTTGTGTTATTCATTTACTCAAATCCATATCTTTGAATCACTATTAAAGTTCTTGTATTCGCGATACAAGTGCGCGTTCAATGATCATTTTGAGTTCCTTTTATAAATTTAATTTCTTCACTGTTATTGTGTTCTACTTCGTTGTTGTAGTTACCATTTTTTGTTATAACTAACTTTCGTAGCTTATTTTCAGTGTAATTATGAAACGTTTCCCAACGCCACCTGATTTTTTGCAATTTTCCGCAATTTTAAGATGTGCATTGAGTGCCGTGATATTTTTAAACCCTATTACAGTTCCTTGAGCTCTCTACTTCCATTAGACGAGAAACATTTATGGTAACGGAGATTGTCTGTTGTTTCAAGTCGAACTGACTAGGATTTTATTCTTAGCCATGACAAAATATAACATACAACTTTTAAAAAACAACTGCGATGGGACAAAAGCTTTCCTTAACAAAGCAACGTGTGAATTTTACGAAAAGCTTACGTGATATCAGCAAAATGCCAAATTAATGGTATTTCTATGAAGGCATCATTAAAGGGAGATCTGAGATTGGAGAGAGGGAGATATTGGGACGACAGACAGATACTACAATAATAAGTTGGCGTTACTATTACAATGCAAGATCATGAGATAAAAGGAAGGCACGAAAGAAGCTGAGTACATATACAAAAGGATTCAGTCGTCAATGTTCTGGCTATTTCAAAATCGTTAGAGAAGAATTCATTATAAATTCAACATAGTTCTTCCGGGACTTCGCTATCCTGCAAAACCGTAGGTAGTGTAACCTCGACGTTTGAGAGCATAAACGACATCCATTACGGTTACGGTCTTGCGCCTGACGTGTTCACAGTAAATAACAGCATCATGGATTACCTCCTCTAGAAAAACTCCCAGGACACCACGTATGAGCTCGTAGACGTCTTCAGAAATACGTTGCACTCCTCCGCGGCGTGCAAGTCGACGAATATCTCCTTTAGTAATTCCCATCCACTTGTCCTTTATCTTCATGCAGTGACGCCTTGCACGGTTTCTGCTTCTACCTGTGCCGGGCATTGTTAGTAGTGGGATAGCAGAAAGAGAATAACTGACCGACAGCGGCTAACAGCAGAAAGGGGTGTGATTGACCGCAAGATCATGAAATAATTTTCTCGATTTCGTAACCTATCTACAGTAATGAACTGAAGCACTTACCGTAACTAACAATCACGGTTGGATTCTGCCTGGGTTTCCACCTTTACGTGCTATATGGTTCCGAATCTTGATTCTCGAACAAATTCTCCTCCCTAGGCGCTCAGCTCACCAACTTCAGCGGTTTTTTCAAATGTCTTTATGTAATTTTTGTGGTCCGTCTTGTCGTCCTTCATAAATGTTTCTTTTTTCAATTTTTGTAACCTTTTAATTTTTATTCGTACCAGATTTAATACCAGATGTAGGTTAATAAAATTTCGCTTACTATGCCTGCATTGTTCGTTTGGGCTGAAAGTGGGCTTAAAACTCATTTAAATTATGTTATGCCTTATATAGATGCCATATGCGAATCAGCCAGTAATCAACATTCTCGAACTCAGTGATGAGTTGGTTCGTTTTTCACTGGAAGATACCGATCTTAGCGTAGCTAACTCATTGCGGCGAGTCTTCATAGCTGAGGTAAGCTCTAATCCCTGCTTTTCAATATTTCTATGGTGACTACATTTTTCTATATGAGGGATGCTCCTCTTCAAATTCCTCTCATTAGGTTCCAACGATAGCCATCGATTGGGTGCAGATCGAATCAAATACCAGTGTTCTTCATGATGAATTTATTGCTCATCGAATGGGTTTAATACCATTCGTTTCTGATACTGTAGTTGACGATATGCAATATACCAGGGTATGGTTATACTTAGCGCTTATTTAATTTTCATCGTTTATTTGTTATATTGTTATTCGGTCTTGTCGTGCGTTTCTTCCACAGCGTTTTTCATAAGAGTTATTTTGTTTAGGAGTGTCATTGCACAGAGTTTTGCGATGCCTGCTCAGTACTCTTTGAACTCAATGTAAAGTGCAAAGAAGAAGCCACTCGATCGGTCACAACAGCTGATCTTGTATGCAAGACGGAAAAGTACAGTAGCACAGTATGTTTCTCTAGACTTCTCTTTCTATCCGTTTGTTTATCAGCTGCGGCTAAAGATCATACTTGACCAGGGTGTGTGCCTATTTCTTTCGGATCTGTTTTTTTTTTCACTTTTAATCTTCGAGACCAGGTTGCTGATTAGGTCAAGGTTCAGATCTTTGTAATCTCAACACTTCGGCATCCTTGTGTTGTTGGGTTAGAGCATTCGTTTCAGGTGGTAGTCATTGGCGATCAGTCTTGACTTTTGTCTTTTAGGTGTTCCCTGCTTGTGGAACTCATTTGAAAAACCGTGGAGTGCATTTTAGCGATGAATATGGCCAGCATGAAGATATTCTGATTGTGAAGTTGAGAAAGGGCCAGGAAATCAACCTCAAGTGTTATGCCAAGAAGGTGGCCTTCTTTGGATAACCTCCTAGTGGTTAAACGCAGGAACAAACCTTTTCCTTTTTATAGGGCTTTGGCAAAGAGCATGCAAAATGGAATCCCACCTGTGGTGTTGGCTTCGAATATGATCCTGATAATGCTTTGCGCCACACAATCTATCCTAACCCGAAAGAGTGGCCACGAAGCGAGTTTTCACAGCTCAAAGATCAAGAGGGAGAGGAAAAGCAGTACGAGGCACCATATGATCCTCACGGAAAACCGAACAAGTTTTGGTTCACTAGTGAGTTTCTCTTCTCTTCTCTTCTTCTTTCTCTTCTTCTTTACATTTTATACTTTGCAGTTGATATACTTGTTGTTTTACCACTTTCTAGCAAAGTGATGCCATGTTTTTGATCACTTTCTGTTTTAGTCGAGGCTACGGGCGCATTAAGAGCAGATCGAATTGTCTATTCTGGAATAGCTGTCTTGAAAAAGAAGCTCACAGACCTGCAGGTATATTTTCACTATTATTGTCGTTATCTTATTCATCTTCTCTATCCCATTCTGTTCATCTATAGCCTTTTGTTCCCATATGGATGTCTGATTTCAGCACAACCTCCGTAGTGAATTGCTACAGCACGGATTAGCCATCAATAACTGATCCTAACTTCACTCTATGGAAGATTTGTTGAGGATTTGTTTTTGATCTCTTCAAGATTATGTGTACAAATATTGGAATAAATATTTTCAATCATATCAATCGCTATGGATTTATAGAAGGGTTTTCGTAACCTTGCATTCTTTATGATTGTTTTTTACTTGTTTATGCGTTCTATTGATAATTTGCAGGTTGTGGTCTTTATTTCGTTCGGAGAGGCTTGCTTATTGGTAAATTCCGTCTAAGGTGTTAAGGTCATAGGATTTGTCAAATTTTTCTGCTGATACAAACTTAAATAGGTACGTTTTTACATCTCACTACCCACGGAATGGCCTCTGGTTCGATAAACTCTGATTGTCTGCCGAAACCTATTTTCAGTTATAACAATGGGTGAAGAGGGAGTCAAAAAATTTGGATCGTTGGCCACATTGGAGGCAGTAAAGGCCATCCAGGTGAGCTACTTGTTTGAATGATTCATCATTAGATGAACTCTATCTATTCTAGGAGAACTCTAACAGCTTATCCAATGAAAAGAAGGGTGAACGCATGGAAGTGGATCCAATAGAAAGTCAGCATGAAGCAGAGCTTTTAGCTGAGTTTGAACGCAGGCGGCGAGCTCGAACCTTGACGTTGCCCACTGATGACGTACAAGTGAGTGATCTGTTACGAAGTCTAGAGCAACGACTAATTATTACTTTAGAGCAGCTTTATCCAAAGCGTCGAATACTTTCTGATTTTTTTAGGTAAAGCTGAAGTTGAGAAAGTTAAATCAGCCGATATGTTTGTTTGGAGAAGATATATTGGATCGTAGAGAACGTTTACGTGCGTTACTCTCTACCATGACCGAGGATGAAGTCGCTGCTATTCTGCATACAGAAGAGGTATGGTAGGGTAGACTTGTCAGAGCTTCTGCTCTCCTTTTCTCAACTTTTTTTAGGGTTTTGTTGAAAAACCAGACGAAGAGACTACTACTTGGTACCATCGGGGTCCAGCAGCATTGCGATCAGCCCGAGTTGCGATTGCAGATTTTTCTCTTCGGAGAGCAAAAGAAAGGTAGTACTAAAATGTCCCTTTCAAAGAATCAATACCAACATATTAATATTTCGTTTTTGAAGTAATTCCAACTTTTTTTTCCAACTCGACTTAATATCGGCATCTCAGGTTAATGCGTGCTCGACAGAATGCAGCGCGACCGCCTCACGAGAAAGCCTTGGCACGGCAAGAAGCACACAAATGGATACAGCAGTTAAATCTGCATGCTTCTCAGGTAGCAGACAGTCGGCCTGTTGCGTACTGTGAATTCTCACCGGATTCTGAACACATTGGTGGGCTGGTCGTTCTTTTATTTATTTATTTATTTTTTGTTTTGATAAGTTTTTGCTGTTGTAGTAACTGCCGGCTGGTCAGGACAACCATCAGTATGGAAGAGAGATACTTGTGAACGTTTGATACGGTATACTGGACATCAGGGCCAAAATGGTTGTGCTCGATTTCATCCTCATGCTTACATATCTGCTGATGCCTCTACATTAAATGTAGCGAGCTGTGCCCACGATGGTTGGTTTTCTGCTCCTGCCAGTGGCTTCTTTAGGCGCAATTTTCCTAATTCTCAGTTTTATACTCTATTTACTACTGATCTGGCTAATCGCTGGCTTCTTCCTCCTCTCACATCCCATCGGTCTGTAACTGCCTGCATCCTCCATCATGAGCTTCCGTTTTCGTTTACGGTCCATGCCTCATAAGTTTTCTTTATAGGAACGGTTTACTTGTGGTCCTTGGACAACGACAAGCCGATAGGTGAGCTGGAAAAGCACGAGGCTCGAGTGTCTCGACTTGCTTTTCATCCAAATGGCCGACATTTGGCTACAGCATGGTAAGCCGTATTTGTTGTGTGCATAGTAGTTTCTTTTCATTTTGTTATTTGATTGTTAGTTGGTACTTTTCAGCTATGATTCTTCATGGCGGATGTTTGACGTCGAGACTAGTGAAGAATTGTTGTTTCAGGAAGGACATGCCAAGGTAAGGCCTTTACACTGTTAAAAAACGTTACTAATTTTTGATGAACACTTTTTCAGTCTGTATCAGATGTGGCATTTCATCCAGATGGTTCAGTAGCGCTGACAGGTGGATTGGATTGCTACGGAAGGGTGTGGGATCTGCGCACTGGGCGCTGTATTATGTTTTTAGATGGTCATACAAAAGAGTTGTATACTGTCGAATGGCTTCCAAACGGGTAGGTTCTCAGAATAAATCTTTCCTTCTCAGCAATTCAATAGGCTTGTTTCTATTGAGTACTTTGCAAACCATTTGGCTACTATTCTAGGTATGAGATGGTGACGGGAAGTGCTGATAACACTATTAAAGTATGGGATCTCCGTATACGTAAGAATACCTACACGATGCCAGCGCATTCTAGCGTTGTATCAAAAATCAAAGCAGATAATCAGGGACAATATCTGGTGTCGGCCAGCTATGACAATTCCCTCAAGGTAAGCGATACGTTGCAGTCACTGGTTGCTATGTTAATCCATAGGAGATTTATTTAACTGTACCGGAGAGAAGTTCAAAAGGATCTATCATTTGATTAACTCCAAAGATAAAGGCGACCTTATTATAAGCTCTAAATACCGCATTGTCTTAATTTCCTTTCTGAACTTCATGGGTCCTGCTCTTGGTAAAAAGTAATAGCATCATGTTATATAACCATCACGTTTCAGATATGGTCTTCATCAGGATGGCAACCGTTAAGGCAATTAAAAGGGCACGATACCAAGGTAAGTGAAACTCAAGGAACTACGAAAGATTTGATATCATATGCTTTTTAAGGTTATGTGCGTCGATATCAGCCCAGATGGCAAATGGATTATGTCGTCAGCATTTGATCGTACATTCAAGTTGTGGACTCAGTCAGAGTATTAGGAAATATTTGTATATCTCTGAATGAAGTTTGTGAATAACCTTCTTGTTGATTAGTTTATTTTGTCATTTTTGTTGGCTGTTTTATGAAAATGCATATGAATGTATGTTTAATACACGATTATATGTACAAAGAAGAGCCCTTATAAGTAAGAGTAAGTGTTTTACGTAACTAATGAAAGGACCCGGTTGATGAAAGAATGTAGTAAAAAGTACTGAACGAGGCAGACAACAAAAAAACATGATGTAAGTACAGCACAGTTATGAAGGTGATAAAAATCAAAACAAAAAAGGTCAAACAGTACTTTGTCGCAAACCAGAAGTGTTCATAATGCGTTTACCACACATTGCACAAATTCCTTTTTGATATGCGCATGTTTGGCAATAATGGGAGCCAACTTGATGGATCGCACATTTACATATCTTGCATTTTAAATTCATAACAGTGGCCCTGAAAAAAAGAAACATTCACTGAATATATCAGTTAAGTTCAAACTTGCACTACTCTGTTTACTCACTTCTTTTCACTCCCGAGTAACCGGTTCTGGTTTGTTGGCGGGCGCTTCTGAACTCCTGCCAACTTGTTATGTGCTTTGTTACGATAAGGGTCGACACCAACAATCTTCGTCAATTTCTTTTGGCCTGAAATAGAATTGTAAACATCAGCTCAATAGCAATGAATTTCTTTGAAGATAGGGCGTCAGAAGAAAGTATGAGTATGTCAACCTCGAAAGTAATTTCTTTAGAAAGATCAGAAAAAGAAGTCAAGAAGAATTGGTTGAATGCAACGGAGGTAGTACTCTGCGAGTAAAGTGGAATTTATTATCAAAATACAAGAAAGGAGAGGTTGTATTATATTAACGCATTCTGTAAGTGCTTTGCTAATAATATGATATCTAAAATCCAAAAAGCACTAGTCAATACAGTTAAACCCTATTACTACACGTTATTGGAGCCAAATAAATACTTACATGCATCGCACACCATGACTGCTTTGCCACAGCTTCCCTTTCTTTATTGACGTCGTTGAGATGTTAAAGAATCAAACTGAAAGACATTTTCTGGATCACTCGCACTTTTAATAACTGCAAGCAAAGATACTCGAGAAGGAAGGCAGTACTGAGAAATTGATTGAAGAGAAAACGGCGAATAGCCCGGAAACCCTTGAGATTCTAATACGATATCAAATATGCTGAAAATCTGGACTTCCTATTTTATCCTACCTTCTCCTTTGACGTGCTTACCGTGGCGCAACACGAAAACAAAGAACTTCGAAACAAAAAATGTTCTATGAAAGGAGGAACTCCTTCAGAACTCAGTAAGGTATGAAATAAACTCGTCGGCTTCCCAATTTACGAAGCCTCAACCACACAGATGACGATTTCGGTGTGTCGGTTGTGATTGCAGAACCACTCAATCTCACGGCAAGCTAATAAAAAGGGCCAGCTTTTCAAATTGCTCTTGCAGAAAGTTGATGCGAGACGACATCTTCAAACGGTTGACATTCGGAATCAAGAGAACTCCGAGACAACTAGCTGTGGTAAGTTTCAATACCAGTAGCTACCCCTTTAGCACGCGGAGATTCTTTGATATTGAAGTTTATACAGAATAATGACGACAGCGACGGTAATGCCTCTCTACGGTTACGGGTTCTACCTGAAAATATAAAAGAAGAGCTCAGAATTCTGAGAAAGAGGCAGAATGGAGAACAAGTTCAGGTTGAACGTAACGAAGATGATCAAACGATCGACGAAGGTATGGCACTGAATCCGCCGCTTTTCTTAGATATCCGTTTAGTATTCCCTGGAAATGGTAAATGTAGACGATGAATTCCTACTGGGTGCATAGCAAAGTCAAGGTTTCAGGTTTCAAGTTGTTTTCTGATGGCAGTGTTCCAAAAAAGTTGAAGCTGTCCTCAAAAACAAGTCCTGATGCTTCGGAAACCGTACCAGCTCAAAGCAGCGAAATTCAAAAACAAATTGCTGATAAGGTGCGAAGTTTTATTCTATTCCGGCTTTAGTTAGTGATAAGCTGAAGGCATGGTTTTACAGATCCATCAACTTCGACGTTCAAACCGAATTTATACATGGGGTGAAGATATTCCAGATCCTTTCATTGACTTCACTGATCTCAACCTGCCATCCCAATTAATGAGTTCGTTGAATGAATTCGGTATCGGAGAGCCGACTCCCATTCAGATGCAGGTAAGAGAGCATCATCTCCTGTTATGCTTTACTGTCGGCTTTATTAATACATAGTACCATACTTGTTAGGTTGATGAAGCACACGGTAGAGATCAGACATCATTCGGTTTAAACGATTTAGGACTAAACAGGATCCGCATAATAAGCAGAAAATAATTTGCTAAAAAATTTTAATGGCCTGAAAAAATACTTGTATTCCTATAGTAACCTTGAAGTCGTTAAGGCTATACCTCTCATGATGATGCATCGGGATATTCTGGCTAGTGCACCAACAGGTATGTTGTTTCGACTCTCCCTTTTGTTTATATTCTAGGATAGAACAGTTTTGCATTGAGTAGGGCCAACAACGTTGTCATCACCGTGCTGAGTATCTGATAGTTTGGTCTCTTTGAAGGATCCGGGAAAACGTTAGCATTCGCCATTCCGGTACTTCTGAATATATTGAAGTTGAAGAAGTTGAACAAGTACAAGGATGGCTCCAAATTACTCGCTATAGTTCTTGAACCCACGAGAGAATTGGCATCACAGGTAGATTATACCATAGAAATGGTTTTGTGAACTTAAATAGATTACCGTTTTTCTTAGACATATCGTCAGTTCCTCAAGTTTGGTCAAGGTCTTCCGGTCAAAGCTGCTCTATTCGAGACCGAAGAACTGCCTCAAAATGGTCAGTTCAGAATCTCTGTTTTTTTCGGGTTTTTGCTCATTCCTGTCCTATTTCTATCCTTTTTATAGTCGATATACTAGTTTCAACACCTAATCGTCTGGCTCACCATTTGCAAGATATGCAACTCAAGTTTTTGAGGTACACATGCTTTTGAGAAAATACCTCCTTTCGTCTTTTTCATTTCCATTGGCTATAAAGAAGCGTTAAGTTAAGGTGGTTGATCGTCGATGAAAGTGATCGCTTGTTTGAAGTTGTTGAAGGGCAGGAACGATGTTTCCGAACTCAGGTGAGTAAGAAATCGAACTTTTCATCTTAACAATTGCTGTTCTATTTTTTGAATGCCTATGGCTGGAATAATACGTTTGTTAAACAACGGCTCCTCTCTGTTAATAAAAGCCCCCATATGAAAGTATCACATACCACCTGAATTTTTCGCCAAATTTTTCATTAGGTTGATACCCTTCTGATCAGTAGGCCCCTCCGCGGAGATCCTCGAGTTTGTTTCAGGTTATCTCTTTAGACGAATCTTTAGCCCATTGAAATTGGTTTCCTGTCCTATTTTCTTTATCGGATAGAGTCTGCTATTTCTCCACTTCTAACTAATGCTCATTATGCTTTAGTTTACAGACTTTGACTAGGTGTATCCGTATTTGAGGCTCTTTCTATTCCAGCTTGCCAGTGTATACAAAGCTTGTGATGGAAAATTCACTCGGAGAGCATTTTTCAGTGCTACATTTTCTTATGAAGTGGAAGAATGGTGAGCTTATCTACTGTGGAAATGTTGTATTCTTTCGGAGAAATATCGGATTCAGGTGCAAAGAGAACTTGAACAATGTTGCAATGGTGTGTATTGGTGAGAGGTGTGTTTTTGGACGTATTTCTACAACAGCCGGCAGTACATGTCCCTTTCCTTTAGAAATTCAGCAAATGCTAACGTGACCCAAGAATTAGTGTTTGCCGGTTCAGAGCAAGGAAAGCTGCTTGCCATTCGTACCCTTCTCCAAACCCAGTTTGATCCTCCAGCCCTTATCTTTGTGCAGGCATGTTGATTCGTTGTTCGGATTATCTCCTCTTCTCTGTCATACTTTCTGGCTCCAGAGTAAAGAACGAGCTCGCGAGTTGTTGTCTGCCTTGTCGTCAATCACGCCACCGATTCCTGTCGCCCTTATTAGCAGCGAAAAGTCTCAAAGCGAGGTACACCTCCGGGTTATTTCTTTTTCATGATTCATTGCGAACGAAAATATTCAGAACTAGGGGGTGATCTTAATTTGATCTGCATCATTTTCGATANATAGCACCGAAGGCACTTGAGTAAAAGGAGTAGCCTTTAAAAGATAAACCAAGTAGATGTGATGGTGATATATACGGTTTCAGAGAGATCACGCCATTGAGTCTTTCCGATCAGGACGGTTGTGGGTGCTCATTAGTACGGAATTGATGGGTCGCGGTCTAGACCTTCGCAATGTAAACCTCGTGATTAATTTCGACTTACCAACTTCAATTGTGAGCTACATTCACAGAATAGGTGATTTTTCAACAATAGGAGTATTTTCTGCTTTGCTTTGCATCATAAGGTTAATAGTATATTAATTTTAGGTCGAACCGGCAGGGCTGGTCGCCGTGGACGTGCCATCACATATTTTACCGAATCGGACACAAAGTACTTGAGATCGATCGCCACAGTAATCCATCAGGCTGGATTTGAAGTTCCCGAGTATACGCTGAGTTTGAAGCCTCTAAGTAGGTTGGTAGTTTGTATTCGTTCTCAACGAGCTTTTGTAATTCTGCTTTGAAATACTTCAGAAACGAAAAGAAGCAACTTGTGCGCCATGCTCCAAAACGAAAGCACATAGCGTTTGTGAAAAAGAAGAAAAAGAAGAATCTCCAAGCTGAAAAGTCTTCTAATCAGTCGGACGAACCGGCTGAGAAGAAGGCGAAGGTTGACAAAGTTGGAAAGGAATCGATTACAGAAAAGGCGGTTTTGGGTAATATCGGTAAGATGAAGAAGAAGAAAATTGGAAAAGTCGAAAAAGTAACGAAGGGAGCAGTTTCGAAAGGAATCGCAAATGAGGTACCACCCGGACAAGTTCCCAAGAAAAAAGCAAAGAAATCATCGAAAAACGATAAGCAGTAAGCATCTCAATAAGATAAGGTGCTTGTTAAGCTGCCTTTGATTGGGGCATTAGGGGCTTGAAAAAGGCTGTCGAAAATTTAATGGATCGTATGCAAATACATTTATACATGTATGAATTTAGTGACTTTATTGTTGGCATTGTGAAGTTGTTATATTGCTGTTATTTGTTTTTGTTGAAATAAATACTGAGATTCTAATCCAAATCGCCAAGATAGCTGAATGGAGTAGTACTGATGAACTGGCGAATTCGATGTGCGAAAAGGGAACCAATCGAACAATCGATAGCTTCCCTCTGCTTTATTCTGGGGGAACTGGTGTGTGTATTTTCTGATATGAAGCGATGCTCCTGTTTTCGATAGAATGTAGGAGTGTGAGATCGGTTCTAAGCTTACGAGTATAATCAACTTTGATGTAGTGAGCATCCAGAATCCTTATGGATTTTATTGTGTGCTTCCATTGGCCTTCTGAGGTCAACCCTTTTTGGTTACCAGTATGGGATAGGTTTACAGCCATAACGATCCCATTCACTTTGCCTCAATGTCGGCATATCTAGTGGTTCCATGCTCCGGGCGATTTCTCGCGGGATATACGATGTGCCAGGGAATCTGCTCTGTTGACCCGCTGCCTTCAGAGATCTTGACAGAATTGAAGGCTGTTAGAGGCCACTCAAACTCTTCCTTCCTATCACAGTAGTAATGAAGTTATGAATAACGCCGTCCTTCTTGACTGCCTCCATCCTATCTCTAGCTCCGCTGTTGTTCCACTTGTCCCCATTTCCTTCCTTCCACGGCATAGATGTCGTTATCGTGCTTTCGGAGAGGTCTTTCTTGACTCACTGCCTTTCGTGATGTAACATGATTAACTGTAGTTTTGATATATACGAGCCATGAGCCCCAAGTAGGATTCATTTAGCCAAACTAACACCGCTACCTTATACCCCTCACCTGCATTCGATTCTATTGTGAGTACAAATTCTTGCCTTTCATATTCTGGCTTTGAAGACACTAGGCCAATAGAGAAGTTTAGTGGGGCACTGAGCAAAAGCTCCTAACAATTCGAACCTCTGAACCAGATGCAAAGCTGGAAACATGAGGTGAGACAAGAGAATTCCATCCAGCAATCTCAGGATCTCTATGAAATAAAGAACAACAAAATCTTTTTATCGTTGCATGGTCGGGAATCGCCTCCAAACAAATAAACTTCGATCATTTTTCCACTTCAGAGACAGTGATTCATTTAAAAAATTCCGTTGACATAGCAATAAAGCTGAAAATTGCAGATCACTTTTGATTTTGGCTTTCATTGAATTACTTCTCTTTGTAGAAATGCTAGAACTACTCAATCAGGACATTATCTACATTTTATGCTCGTTTCTGGATTTGGCCTCTTTGGCTTCGCTAGCAGTCGTCTTCCCTCGGTGGTCGGATCAAATCTTACGCTCAGTAACTACTAAAATTTGGGCAATAAAGCTGGTAAGTGCTAAGGGCTCTACATCCTTGAGATCGGGTATGCTTGTAACCATTTAGGTAATTGTCTAAACGGTAATTTTGATAATTTACATTTTCCATCATTTATTGTAAGTATTATACATATTATTGATTTTTTGCTATTATACTTGTATATTATATTGTAGTATATTGTACTGTATTACATTATAATATATTGTATTACACTATATTACATTATTATGTATTATATTATATTATATTATATTATATTATATTATATTATATTATATTATATTATATTA